ACTAAATAAATAAATAATCATTTTTTAAAAAAAGAAATTGATGGGTTAAAAGGTAGGTTAAGAAACTCTCTTAGAAGAAACAGGAAATGAAAAGAAATAGGGAGGTTAGAAGGGGAAATGCCAGTGCCTAGAAAACAGGGGTCCCAGAAAACGAGATAAAGAAAAAGCAGAAACGGATACAACTCTCTGGGCGAAGAAACTATGGAGATGGATTCCTCAGGTTGAAGGAAAAATTAAAAAAACCTTAGATTGGAAAAACTCAAGAGTGCAACCGTAGGATTCCATTTGTATGAAGTTCCAAATGGGCAGAGCCAACCCACGGCACTGAGGTGGGCATGGGGACTCCACTGGGGCCGCAGAGGGGGCATCGGAGGCTCGGTGCTGTTTCCGGGTCTGGTTGCTATGTGAATGTGTGCTCAGAAGAATTCATCAAACTGGGGCACCTGGCTGGCTCCATCGGAGGAACGCGTGACTGTTGATCTTGGGGTCGGGAGTTTGAGCCCCATGTTGCGGGGCAGATTGTACTTAAAATTTAAAAAAAAGCTCATCAAACTATACACAATTTGTGCTTTTTCTTGTATTATGTCATTCTTTGGTAAAAAGCTCACTAGAGCAGGAGAGAACACACTGCCATATACCTCATGAGTGGAAGAACTCATGATGGAAATAGAAAAACTTAGGACGATATATTATATATCAAAATTTATGGGCTGCAATGAAAGCAGTGCTTTGAGGGAAACTTAAAGCCTGAAATATTTATATTCGGAAAGAGGAAAGGCAGAAAAATGAATGAGCCAAAGAGCCAAACTAAGATGTTAGAAAATCACAAATAATAAACACAAAGAAATTAGGAGGCTCGTGTTATCCTGATACCAAAGGCAGATGAAACACTACAAAAAAGAAAATTGTAGACCAGCATGTCTCATGAATATGGAGGCAAAAGTCCTCCATAAAATACTAGCAAACCAAATCCACCGGCATACTCAAAAGATTATACACCCTGGCCAAGTGGGATTTATCCCAAGCTCGAAAGGGTTCAGGATAAGAACATAAGAACCTAAGAAATGGACCAGTGGAATACACAATGTTAACAGAATGAAGAAAAAACCCATATAACGATCTCAACTGACACAGAAAAAAATCTTTGACCAAATTTAACATCCTTTCATGATAAAAAGCACACAGAAAACTAAGAATACAAAAGAACTTGCTGGATAGTAAGGGGCATTGATGAAAAACACACGCAGGTAACATTGTATCCAACAGTGAAGGATTGAAAGCTTTCCCCCTAAGATCAGGAACAAGACAAAGATGCCTGCTTTCACCACTGTTAGCAAATATTGTACTGGAAATTATGGTCAGAACAATTTAGACAAGGAAAAGAATTAATAAAAGTCATTAAAGTTGGAAAGGAAAAAGTGCAGCTATCTCTATTTGCACATATCATGATCCTACATATAGAAAAATCCCAAAGAATCAACAAGTGAGTGATTCAAGCTAATAACTTCAGGAAAGTTGCAAGGTGCAAACACAACACACCACAACATCATTTGGGGTTCTATATACCCGTACCAATAATACACATGAAAAGGAAATTAAGAAAGCTATTCCAGGGGCACCTGGGTGGCTCAGTTGGTTAAGCATCCGACCCTTGGTTTCAGCTCAGGTCATGATCTCAGGGTCGTGAGATCGAGCCCTACATGGGGCTCTGTGCTCAGTGTGAAGTCTGCTTGAGATTCTCTCTCTCCCTCTCCTTCTGCCCCTTCCCCCGCTCTCTCTCTCAAATAATTTTTAAAAAAAAGAAAGCTATTCCATTAACAGTACCATTGAATTAATGAAATAGTACATATTCGAAGCAATTCTTAGTAAAATAAGGGCTAATAATTCTTAAAAAAAAAGGAAAATAACTACAGCTTGCAAGGATGGGGAGCAATTGGAACCTTCATGCATCACTGGTGGGAAAGCAAATGGTGCATCTGTTGTGGAACACAGCCTAGAGTAGCTGGTGTTCATGTGCGGAGAGCTGCGGAAGAAAGGCCTCACCTGGGGGACACGTGTGTGGAGGGCAGGAGCCCAGAGTGCTCGGTGTCCATGTTGGGAGGACCGTGCGAGGGTGGTGTGAGATCGCTGAGGGACCTCCTGTGTTGGGGGAGGGGCTGGGCCAGAGCCCCGTGGACACCCTCACGCACACCCAACCTGGTACTGACCGATCCGCTACCTGCAGGAAACTTCCTCCTGCAGTGTCCCTCCAGAATCTTTTTTAAAACAGATTTTATTTATTTATTTGACAGAGAGAGACACAGCAAGAGAGCGAACACAAGCAGGGGGAGTGGGAGACGGAGAAGCAGGCTTCCTGCCGAGCAGGGAGCCCGATGCGGGGCTTGATATCAGGACCCTGGGACCAGGACCTGAGCCAAAGGCAGACGCCTAACGACTGAGCCACCCAGGCGCCCACCCTCCAGAACCTTCTATGAGCATACATAACATTGTGTTCATTGTGCAAAACACATGCTTTCAGGAATTCCATCCACTATGGCAGAGTGGATGTCCACGGGTGAATTCAGAGCCAAGAGGTGATAAATCACTAGCTGAGGGCAGAAACCGCCCTGGTGAGGTATGATCTCAGAGACCTTGAATCCCATGAGCCTTTCCTAAGACACCTACCAGAGAATGTGCTTCCCTCACCAGACTAGCTACAGAGACATGGCTAGAGGGCTGGCTGTGAGCCCCAAACGCCCAGTCATTCGAGGCTGATAGAGAAGGTGACAGCAGGGAAGGTCTCCCTGGAGATATCCAACAACTATTTAAAACCGGGGACCCCTCGGGGTGCCTGGGTGGCTCAGTTGTTAAACGTCTGCCTTCAGCTCAGGTCATGATCCCAGGGTCCTGGGATCGAGCCCCGCATTGGGCTCCCTGCTCCGCGGGAAGATTGCTTCTCCCTCTCCCACTCCCCCTGCTTGTGTTCCCTCTCTCACTATATCGCTCTCTGTCAAATAAATAAATAAATAAATAAAAATCTTTAAAAAAATAAAACTGGGGACCCCAAAACACAATTTAACTGTTTTCACTTATTGTCCTCCTGCAAATGCTGTGTGTGATACGAGATGGAGCAAAGACATGATTTTGGAATATTCTAATTCCATCATGCCCTGTGTCCCTGAGAATGAGGCTTCTTGCCATAGAATGAAAAACATGCCATGTACTCTGTTTACAGGTCAGGAAAAAACCCTCTTGCCTTGAATTTGAAATAGTGGTATTTGAACTCATGAGGCATTTTATCTTTCAAATGATTTACCTTTAAATATTTCCTTGTTCTGTCCACTGGAAAGACCTAGAAACAACACAATAATCATGAGCATCCCCTGTACCCAGACTGTGGTCTTGAAATCCTTTTCCAACAAAAAGAAACCAGGGAGTTTTAGACAAAGTGCTGACTCCAGGCCTGGGAACCAGAGAGCGAGGAGACTCTGAAACCCTACTTGCCAGGTCAGCGTGTCTCAGAGCCCAGGGGAGGCGCTCCCACCGGTCAGGGCAGCACAGTCTGAGCTCCAATAAGGACAATAATTACGACGAAGTGAAACCCTCGAATACATTTAAATATTTATTTATTTTACCTTTTTATTTTTTAGAGGGGCTGGGGAAGGGCAGAGGCAGAGGGAGAGGGAGAATTTTACGCTGGCTCCATGCCAGCACAGTGCCTGACGTGGGGCTTGATCTCACGACCCTGAGATCATGTCCTGAACTGAAATCAAGAGTCGGACGCTTAACCGTCTGAGCCACCCAGGTGCCCCCCACCCTTGTATACATTTAAATCCATAGGAATGACATAATAATTCTAAAACTCGAAAACATAATGGACTGGGTCACCTCTGGAGGATGATTGAAAGCAAATTCATTATCCTGAAAATCAATGAAAGAAAAAAATGTTAAAAATTCTGTAAAGGAGGGGCACCTGGGTGGCTCAGTCGGTTGGGCAACCAACTCTTGATTCCAGCTGAGGTCATGATCTCAGTGCAGAGTCGGCTTGGAGTCTCTCCCTCTCCCTCTGCCCCTCCCCAGTGAGCACGTGCTCTCTCTCAAATAAATACGTTAGTCTTAAAAAAAAAAAAAAAAATCCGCAAAGGAAAAGCTGGTAAGCATTTCCCCTCCATGTGCTATAGGAACAGCACCGCTGGGCAATTGACTGATAGATGGGGGCATCTCTCTGGAACTATTCTAGACAATATAGGGGAAATAAATGTTAAAATTAAGCTGCCCCCATCGTACAAGCCAGGGAAGAACCAGCGAATCCAGGGGGCCATCATCAGATCGGCTCACCTCAAAAAAGAGAGGCAGCCGGTCCTGACACCTCTGATGAAGGAAGCCTGCCCCCACCTACAGCCGGGCCAGTGGCATTGAACCTGAGTCGGATGGGGCCTCTAGATTTAACTGCTGAATCCCAGAAATTCAGAGGACAAGGAAGAAGCTGAAAGGACGGTGGCGCCAAGCTCTGGTGCTGGATTGGAGATCTCCCGAGCTACAGAGGCGTAATGTGAGTCCAGCCTGAGCCGCGGTGCTGGGATCCCAAGCAGGGAAGGGCAAAGGGCACTGGGCAGGGTGGGAGCTAAAGGCAGGCGAAGGTGCCTGGTGGCACGTGGGGGCAGAAGCAGCTTTCATGGGTATGCTATCTTGGTCCCAGTGCCCACCCTTCAGGGCTATGGACTGCATAGCCTGGCCAAGGACCACTGCCTTCCAGAAAGTTCCCTGGGTCAAGCTGGGTCCAGTAGGTAGAACCTTAGTTCTACCCCCTGGTGGAGTCCTGCGCAGGGAGGATGAGATATAGATACAGCTTCCCCAAGAATGCCTAAAGAGGGGATGATACCGCCACCCTCGGCAGGTGATAGAGATGGATACTCAGCCCCACACCTCCTAGGCTCCACAGGGACACAGGTGAACTCAGTGCTTCCCTTTGTATGCTTTTATTGGAAACACTCAGGGTTGGGATAGTGGGAGCCACGGGCTCAGTTGGCAGCAAGTATTTCCTGAACCCAGGGCATGAGCTCGGTGACACGGGCATACACAGCAGGAACAGAGGTAGAGCAGGTCCCACTGCCCCAGGACACGATGCCCACCAGGGTCCAGGCTCCGTCCTTCTGGCAGACCAGGGGGCCACCAGAGTCGCCCTGCAGGAGGAGAAAGGACTGGTTCCAAAGCCCGAAGCGGGGCGCCAGGTTCCCAGCGTGCCCTGACCTGCCCCAGCCCAGGTTCTGTGCAGAGAAATGACCAGGGTGGGCACAGTGACTGAGCAGGAGACCCTTCGATGTGGGCCCCACGGCAGCCCCAGCTCCGTCACCGACTCCGGGAGGGCCTGGGGCAGGTGGCCGACCCTCTGACCCGGCCAGCGTCTGTACAGTGGGCCGGAAACCTCCACCACCCCATGCCCCCACTCCCCACCCCCCGCGGCGGCTGGCGGGGCGGGGGCGGGGGGGAAGATGCCACGGCGCCCGGAAGCCCCGCAGCACGCCCCGGCCAGAGCGAGCCCTGGGTCCGAGGCACCTGCTGGGCGGGTCCGGGCTTTGGCCGGGCCAGCTGGCGGGAGCGAGCGGAAGGAGACGCGCGCAGAAAGGAGCCGCGCTCCCCGCCTGAGCAGGGCCGGGGCGAGGTCCGCGAGCGCGGGCGGGGGTGGCGGAGCCGGGCCGCACCTTGCAGGAGGAGACCCCGCTGGCGCCGGCGCAAATCATCACATCGCTGATCTTGCTGCCCCAGAACTTCTGGCACTCGGCGTTGGACAGGAGGGGCAGGGCCGCCTGCTGCAGCTTGTCGGGGGTCTTGTTGGCTGGAGGGACACAGCAGGCCGGCGGGGGTCAGGGCCCCTCCCCCGCCCACCCCACAGCGGAAGCCGCCGCCGAGGGAGCCGCGGGGGAAGGGGAGACCCGGCCGGACCCCGGGGCCAGCGGGGCACGGCCACCGGCCTCGAGTCCGGGGACGAGTCCGGCCTGGAAATGGGGCAATGTGGACCTGGCTGCAAGTTCGTGAGGGCGATGCTTGCTGGCACGTAGGTGTTTCTCGGCAAGTTAGTCTTCAAGTATAGAGCGCTTAAGCTCTTTTTTTTTTTTTTTTTTTTAAGATTTTATCTGTTTATTTGAGAGAGCAAAGTAGGGAGAGCGGAGGCAGAGGGAGAAGCAGGCTCTCCACGGGACCCCAACGCAGGGCCCAACCCCAGAACCCCGGGATCATGACCCAAGCGGAAGGCAGACGCTGAGCCACCCAGGTGCCCCAAGAGAGTTTTGAATAAAAAATGGAAAGATTTATGGCTGTGTTGCAATTTAGACAAGAAAAAGAAAAGCTACAGGGGTGTCCCCCTGGAGACTCCTGCTACTCAGGCAGCCCCAAGCGCAGACACATCTCCTGGGGGGAAACGCCAGGTCCTGCTCACCATTGTACTTGGTCTTTCCCCAGCCGGTGGTGACACACAGCAAACCAGGGGGGAATTCGTCTGTCGCCTCGGGCAGGCACACGGGGGACACGGCCTGGGAGAAGCGGGCGGGCGTGGCCAGCTTCAGCAGGGTTATGTCGTTGCGGACGGTCAGCATGTTGAACCTGGGGTTCTTGAAAACCTATAAGGTAGAACCAGAACAACGAAATCAAGCCCTCGGATTCGTTGGCAACCTGCAGGTTGCAAGGAGATAAGCTCTTTCTCTGGCGGCCATGGAGGAAACAGACCCACAGGAGCCCGGAATGAGAATTCAGAGGGCGGCCCCACCCGCCCTGGGCTCCTACGTCTCAGGCAGCCCAAGGGTCTTGTCCTTCCTGCTTCTGCCCCCAGCCCCTTGGCTGAGGCCCCCAGGCCAGTGGGACAGGGCTCAGGGGTACCTTGGCAATCTTCAGGACCTGGATGTTCTCCTCATCTGAGCGCTGGTTAAACTCCCCAGCCACGACCAGGTGAGACGTGCTAGAGGAATCACGTGTAAGTTAAAGAGTTGGAGTGGGCCCTGCTTCCTCCTCACCCCGAAATGTAGCCAGAAGCAGAGCACTGAGCCTGCCCAGGCCTCACCTGACCCCGCAGTGGGCGGCAGTGACCACCCAGTCCTCGCTGATGAGGGAGCCCCCGCAGAAGTGGAAGCCAGTGCTGTCCTGGAGGAAGACGGGGAGGTCAGTGGTGGCTGGACGCCTGCAGCCCCCAGCCTGGCTAATACCCCCGTGTGTCCCCCACTCACCTGCAGGGACACCTGCCAGGGCCAGGAGCCCGGGACGGCGTCCTCCCCATTGACGATCCTGGATAGACCACTCAGCACAGGCTCAATGGTGGGGACCCCGCAGTCTGGTGGGGGGGGGCAGGAGGAGGGGGAAGAAGGCTGAGGCCCAGGGCCAATGTGCAAAACTCCCAGTTCCTTCCAGGCCCGCGCAGGACCCTACACACCCTCCTACCACCCCCAGGCAACTTCTGCTGCAGTCCTCAACCTGTAGGCACGAGGGTCCCCACATGCAGCCTGCTAACCCTACTCATGCGCCATGCCCAGGGTCTTTCTGATGAAGGAGCAGAAAACAGGCCGAGAAATCAGACTGTGGGGCTGGACTCCCAGCCTTCTTGCTGTGAGACCTCAGAGTGTCCCTGAATCTCCACTGTTCATTTTCCTCAGTAAACTCGGGAGCAAACAAGGTTCCCCTCTCAGGTCAAAACTCACCTGTTGGATGCGAGGAGATTAAAATTGGCCAACCCCAAGCGCACGGGGCATCTGGAACTGGGACGCCTTGCCGAGGCAGGTAGGAAATGGTACATTCCACCCTTGGGCCCTCACTGAATTTTCTTTTCCAGAGATTTCAGGAACTATTCATGCATAAAGTTTACGTTTCTTAATTATTTTATTAAATAATTTGGTTCTGCCCCATACGTGGACACACGGGGACAACAAAACGAGGGCTTGAGTTGTCCCAGACACTGAGAAAAGACAAGTGTACTTAATATGTCCGTGAGGACCTGGGGAATTCTCGGCACCTGTGCAAGTCAAGTTAGGCTCCCGCAGCCGCCACCGCAGCCCCCTGGGTAACACAGGCTAGTTAGTGCCTGCCCTGCTGCCCCTGGGCAACCCAACACAGAGCATTCTTGCCAGAACATGTCAGCATACTAATCGCGTTCTTTGTAATAGCAAAAACAGAACTATCCCAGGATGAATTTACACAGCTGACTGTAGTGATTACAGTGATGGGGCTCCGCACCAACAGGGATAAATCTAAAACATTACGTGGGCGAGAAAAGGTACTTTATTATTTTATTATTATTTTTTGACAGAGAGAGACACAGTGAGAGAGGGAACACAAGCAGGGGGAGTGGGAGAGGGAGAAGCAGACTCCCTGCTGAGCAGGGAGCCCAATGCGGGGCTCGATGCCAGGACCCTGGGAACACAACCCGAGCCAAAGGCAGACGCTCAACGACTGAGCCACCCAGGCGCCCCGGCACTTTAATTTTTTTTTAAAGTAAGCTCCGTGCCCAGCCTGGGGCTTTGAGCTCTCCACCCTGAGATCAGGAGTCGCAAGCTCCACCGACTGAGGCAGCCAGGTGCCCCGGGCACGTTTTAAAATTGATGTAGCGTATAATACTGCGTGTGAAAGTTTATACACCTTTTGTATGGTGTCTATGGATTTCTAAGTATGTAGTAAATTGGTAAAAACCCACCCAGAAATGAGGCCCAGCAAGCTCGGAATCGGGCTCACCTTCCACGAGGGGCAGAGGGAGAGTGTGGCTTGAGCTGAATCTAGTTTGTTTTTTTTTTTAAGATTTTTTTTTTATTCATTCGAGACACAGAGAGAGAGAGAGAACATGAGCAGGGGGAGAAGCAGAGGGAGGGGGAGAAACAGGCCCCCCGCTGAGCAGGAGCCTGATGCGGGGCTCAATCCCAGGCCCCGGGACCATGACTCGAGCTGAAGGCAGACGCTTAACCATCTGAGCCACCCAGACGCCCCTAGTTTGTTTTAAAAAGAAATCCCTGAAGCCAGTCAGCAAAAAAAAATATTTGCAAAACCTTGATGATAGGTACGTGGTTGTCATATTATTTCCTGTGGTTTTTACCATTTCTTCCTCTTTAATGGAAGATAAAGGACTTCACAAGTGCCTGGCACAATAAATAAAAATCTGAGGATGGGCACTGAGAGTCTCCTGCGACCGCTCCCCTCCTCTGCTCACAGTACCCCTGCCCGAGCCAGGCCTGGGGCCCCAGGACTCAGTGGGGCCCAGACTGGTCTCTGGCACCCTCCTGGCTCAGAGTCCAAGTGCTCAGAGAGCCCCAAAAGGACCCCTGTGCTCCCCACAGCCTCAGCTTGCCAGTCTGGGGAGAGGCCCTGCGTGCAGGGAAGGGGGCCCCAAACTCTTTCTTGGCCAGGCCCCAGGGCTCGCTCTGGACAGAGCCCCTCGCGCTCCTTCCCTGGGGCTGGATGCAGAGCCACTGGGGGCTCGGGACCCCCTCCTCAGCCTGCTCCAGACCTGGCAGGCCCACCCCTGGGGTCCCGACACTCACAGCCGTAGGCAGCCTCCACAAGGGCGAAGCAGGAGAGAAGCCAGAGAAAGGCCATGTTGCTGCTCTCAGGAAGATATGGGACAACCGCTCTGGGGGCCCTGCTTTTTAAGTCTCCTGGGCCACCCCAAGCCCTGCCCAGCCCCTCTGGCCCTGCCCAGCTGGAGAAGCCCGAGAGACACCCACCCTGTTATCCAAAGACCTTGAACGGTAAGTGGGCGTCAAGCCCCTCAAACAGCCAGGGCTGGCTCTCAGCCTGGGATGCCTCAGCCCCTGGGAAAAGGGCAGCTGCTCTGAGGCCTTGTCACCCCTGAGACTTGGCAACACCTGGCATCCCAAAGGCTCTGTGACAGGCAACGCCGGCGCCCCAGCCCGGAGCCCGGGCCCTGGAGAGCCCAGCTCTGTGCAGCCTGTAGCCAGTCCCAGGAACCGGCCGCTGCCAGGGCACTGGGGAGGAATCCCAGCTCCTAATCATAGGCAATCCCCCCACGGGGTTCAAAGAACCCTGGCTGTTGTCGCCGGGAGGCCTCCAGTACACTGGACGTAGGCAGCAGGGGCTCAGCAAAGAGTATTTTCAGTGCAATACCATCTACAAGTATTCTACAGATATTCTGGGTCATCCAGAACGTCCCCTTCAAACCAGCCCAGCCAGGCAGCTTCTGAGCGTGCGTGAGGGTGTGTGGGGGGGGGTGAGGGCGAGAGCGTCGCCCCCACGGAGGCCATTAGTAGGTTCTAGGTGGACAAACACGCTGATAGGCCATCCTGCATCTAGCCCTGGGCTCAGCTCAGTCTCTTCCCGTGGTAACACACAGCGTAAGGAACCCGTCACTGTAGATAGCGCTGTGTCCTGTAAAGTGGGGCGTTGACTGCTGCCATTAAATGACACACAGGAAAACAACAGAAATGATGTTGTGGTCCCAGAACACTGAGACAAGGAAGGTGTAGGTAATAGGATGGTGATGCCTTTGCCAGAAGCAGAGGCCCAGGGACCTCTCAGCAGACCCTGGTGTAGATGCTGGGCACTCACACGCACACTGCGCATGGTGCCCCTGTCCTCGGGAGGCTGAGAGCCTAGTGACAGAGTCGGACACTGAAGGGACGGGACTATGTCTTGAGTCCCATAGTCCAGGCAGGGAGAGTGCTGCGGTTCCGGAAGGTGCTCTGGGCTTCAGCCCTGAGCTGGTATGTCGAGGAAGGTGGGGTGACCAGAGGAGTCTCCTCTCGAGGCCTCTGGGCACTGTGCTCCCCAGGGTCGCGTTCCCCTGGACGAAGCTGGCCAGAGTGAGCAGCATAGGGTCACTGCTCCTGGTCGGGACTCCAGTGGCCTGGAGGTTTTGTCTTGATCTGTATGTGCTCAGTATGGGGTTTGTTCAAAATGCTCCGGGGGTGGGGGGTGGGGGGCGGTGAGCAGGGGCTCTGAGCAGTGGCGACAGTGGTCACGGGTGGGGCAGGGTCCCGGAGGAACCCCATATCTCTGGGGCAGGGCTGCCACATTTCCAGGGACGTAGAGAGCCTGCGGCTGGGTTCTAACTGGGTCTGAAGCTTTTTGGCAGCCCCTGGGGGTCCCAGCTGAGCATCAGCCCCAGCTGTGAGTGTGAGGAGTCCACTGTTCAGGTCCAGATCAGGGTCATTTATTGAAATATTCACATGCACTCGGGTTTTCTTCTCTTTTTTTCCTTCGCTCATTCCAAGCAGGTAGCCAAGCCAATTGTATTGTCCTTGCCTCAGGGACTTTTCCAGAGCAGCCCCCAGTCTCTGGTTCTCCAGGTCTGTTGCGAAAGTAAACCCCTGGCCCACTGGAGTGTAGGAGGAATCTTCTGGAAAGGCAGGGACAGCTTCGCCAGTTGCAGAGGTGAGTGAGGGTGAGGCTCAGAGCCACGAGGCCAGGGCTATTCCTATCTGCTGCTGCCTTTCCGAGGTGAACCCCCCCGCCCCCCCCCAGAGCAGCGTGGCCTCCGGGCTACCCGCCCGAGCCGTTCCCCCTTCTCGTCCAGCGGAGGGTCACCCCGCCCCAGCTCTCAGCGGGGAGACTCTGACTAGTGTCTGCAGTTGGGGCCAGCGGGGTGAGAACCCCCCCCAACGCCCCCTCCCCCCCCCCCCCCGCGCTCGGGCAGTCTTGTGCGCATGTGCGGCCTGGCCCGCGGGCCACTCTCCTGAGGCGCTGACTCGGGACTGCGGCCTCCCTGAGCCGCCCGGCAGCACCTGCCTGGGTGCCTGGGTGCCCTCACGGAGAAGAGCGAACCCCTGTGGCTTAGCCACTGTCTGCCATTGTTTTATGCCGGGCAGCTTCTGGAATGACACAAAGTAACTGTCAGAACGCGCTACGCGTCCATTTTGCCCTCTCGGGCCCCTTGCTGGCCTCCAGCGCACTGACCCCCAGGCACAGGAGCGGGGCCCCGGGAAGGGGGAAGGGCGAGAAGTCGGGCTGCCTCCCTGGAAGCGAGCCCTCCCTCGCCAGCGGCCACAGCTCCTTTCCCGAGGCCCTGTCGGCTCGGCGACCCTCTCTGGGTTCCATAACTGCTCCTCCCTGGTCTCGTCAGCTCCAGGGATGTCCCTATGGTTCTAGAGCCCTGGGCACCGCACCAGCCTTGCTTTCCCTAAACCCTGCCCACACCTTTGTAAGGTTTCCTTTATTTAAATTCACCTCAATAGGGGCACCTGGGCGGCTCAGGTCCTGATCTCAGGGTCCTGAGATTGAGCCCCACGTCAGGCTCTGTGCTCAGCAGGGAGCCTGCTTCTCCCTCTCCCTCTGTGGCTCCCCCTGCTTGTGTGCTCTCTCTCTCTCTCTCTGTGTGTCAAATAAATAAATAAAATCTAAAAAAAATTTTTTTTAAAGATAAATTCACCTCAATAACCCAATTTTGAGTGTGCCGCCTGTTTTCCGGCAAGACCGTGACTGATATAGTGGCTGTGTCCCCAGGCCCACTGGGAAAGTGATGCTCACAGACCAGAGAAGTCCATGGAGAACCTCTTTGTCAGGAAAGAGGAGACCCCAGTGGCCCACGGGGTGATGCTGTGGCATCACCAATTAACACTGGCGGTGGCAGAGGCTGAAGGGCGGGTGGAAGGGCAGGTAGCTGTGGCACCAAGTCCCTACAGGGTCAGCGGTGATCGTAAATACTGGAGAGTTGGGCCACTGGTCCAGGAGCCTACGAGAAGCTGATGAAAATCACCAGTCATCCAGGAGATGCACATCGAAACCACAGTGAGATATAGCTCATACCCATGAGGATGGCAAATAGAAGACAAAACCAAAAAAAAAACCCAAAAAACAAAAAATAAAAAAAAAAAACGGAAAATAAGAATGCGAAAGGATGTGGAGAAATGGGATCCCTTGCACAATGGCAGTTCCTCATAAAATTAAAAACAGATTTACCCTATGATCTCACAATCCACTTCTGCATATACACCCAGAAGAATGAAAAGCAGATTCCCAGAGATATTTGTACACCCATGTTAGTAGCAACATTATTTTTTTTTAAATTTTTATTTATTTATTTTACAGGGAGAGACACAGCGAGAGAGGGAACACAAGCAGGGGAGTTGGAGAGGGAGAAGCAGGTTCCCCACTGAGCAGGGAGCCCGATGCGGGGCTCGATCCATTATTTACAGTATCTAAGACATGGGAGCAACCCACATGTCTATCAACAGATGAACAGAGAAACAAAATGTGGTCTATGTATAGAAGGGAATATTATCTAGCCTTAAAAAGGAAGGAAATCCCAACAGAAGCTACAACATGGACGAACCCGGAGGGTATCATGCTCAGTGAAAGAAGCCAGTCACAAAAAGGCAAACACCGTATGATCCCATTTAGGAGGCCATTGGACAGCAAGTAGAATGATGGTTGCGTGGTGCTGGTGGGGGAGACAACGGAGGGTTATAGTCTAATGGGTGCAGGGTTTCAGTGTAGCAAGATGAAGAGAGTTCTGGGCATGTTGGTGGTGGGTGTACAACACTGAATGCACTTACTACCACTGAGCTGTGCACTTGAAAATGGTTCAGATGGTAAATTTTATGTTATTTGCAGTTTACCACAATTTGAAAATTAAAAAAAAACACACGCGCAATGAGATCCCACTTCACACCTACCATGATGGCTGTAATTTTTTAAAAGGGAAATAAGAGGGCGCCTGGGTGGCTCAGTTGGTTAAGCGACTGCCTTCGGCTCCGGTCATGATCCTGGAGTCCCGGGATCGAGTCCCACATCGGGCTCCCTGCTCGGCAGGGAGTCTGCTTCTCCCTCTGACCCTCTTCCCTCTCGTGCTCTCTATCTCTCATTCTCTCTCAAATAAATAAAAAAAATCTTAAAAAAAAAAAGAAAGAAAGAAAAAAGAAACTCATCCTTGCCTTAAGTACACAGAGTTTCCTATTTTGCTGGTGACCGCCTTGCACAAAAAGTCACGGCTTTATTCTTGTGGGACCCTGGGCAGCTCAAATGCCTAAATCCTGAAGGAGTCAAGGCATAAGAGTTGTGTCATTGATGAAAAGAAAGAAGATGTAAGAATCAGTTTCCATTTTTCCAACCTCAGAGGAAACAGTTTACCAGTTTGGTGTGGCAGTCGGTGCTGGGAGCTTACCAAAACCTCGTCCTCCATTCTTCCAGATTTTGTTTGAGGTAGAGAAGGTTCAGCTAAAATGCTTCCTTTCCTGACCTCCCCACCCTTGCAATTGGAGGTGGCCTGGAGACATGGCTCTGCTAATGAGATGTAAGCAGAAATCATTGGATGGGGGATAACCAGGAAGATTTTTTTATAAATGGGACAAATTCTGGTGGTATTGCTTTTTGTCTTTTTCTCTCCCCCCGCCTTCTTCTCCTGCCTGAATGCAGCTGTGATGCATGGACGTTCAGCAGCCACATTGGAACCATGAGGAAAATGCCACAGGTTTTTGAGCTGCCACATCAGCCTCGGACTATCTCCCTTTAGAATTCATGTTAAATGAGAAAAGTAAACGTCTACTTTGCTTAAACTATAGTTTTTCAGGTCTCTATATTTCATAGCTGAACATAATGCCAACACATACCCAGGGAATTTGAAATATTTGATAATTTTTCCC